CGAAGTGGGGGTTCCACAAGGAAGCGCACTCGGCCCGTGTCTATATGTTTTGTATACTGCGGATATTCCTACGAGCGCACAACTAACAACCTCAACGTTCGCCGATGATACCGCTATCCTTAGTCGCTCCAACGCAGGCAACAACCCAACTGGCTAATCATCTCACAATAGTGGAAAAATGGCTGTCCGACTGGCGTATTTTAATGCGAACGATGCGATTTTAAACGAACAAAAGTGTAAACATTTAACGTTTACTCTTAATAGACAAACATGCCCTCCGCTTTTACTAAACGGTATGCAGATCCCTCAAGCTAACGACGTAACGTACCTTGGCGTTCACCTTGATTGACGACTTACCTGGCGCAAGCACATCGAATGCAAAAAGGTGCACCTAAAACTGAAAGCCAGCAGCCTCCACTGGATCATAAACTCACAATCGCCACTGTGCCTGGACTACAAGTTACTACTGTACAATTCAGTCCTAAAGCCAATCTGGACGTATGGCTCCCAGCTGTGGGGGAACGCGAGCAGCAGCAACATAGGCTAGACATCATACTGCGCGCACAATCAAAAATCTTGAGAACTATCACAGGGGCACCTTGGTATGTTCGCAACAAAAACATCCACCGGGATCTGGGCATCCTCGCAGTGAAAGACGAAATCCAGAAGCAAAAAGAGTCGTACAAAGAAAAAACTGTCTTCGCACCCAAATTTTCTCGCTCGGGGATTGACTCGGGTTTCTAGCGTATCCCGCCTTAGACGCAACGACCTCCCAACCCAGCAATCGATTTTTAGGGCCGTCTAACTCCGTATCAGTCAATATGACTGTTAGTTAAGTTAAAAATATAAGATTTGATACAACTCTTGTTAGTCTCGCAAAGAGAAGATTCAAGAAATAAAAGCAACGTTAAAAAAAAAAAAAAAAAAAAATTTGACATTTGATCGAACTTGGCGTGCAGTTTCGGTCTTGGCTCACCTAGGCTCTTCCATTGGGACGATTGGGCTTTGGTTTCGATATCATAACCATATATCCATGATTCGTCACCAGCTATGATCCTTTTGAGTTAATCTGGGTCGTCGTTGACGTCATTCAACCGCTCTTGAGCGATGCATATGCGACGGCAATTCAGCAATTTCAGAACATACTTCGCTGTCGTACGACTCATGCCCAAAACGTTTGAAACAATTTCATGGCACGTATCCAGCGATATCCCGACATCTTCATTTTCTCCATTTCTCTGATAGTGATTCGACGATTTTCCAAAACAATTTTCTTCACTGCTTAAACATTTTCATCAGTTGTTGACGTGCTTGAGCATCCAGAGCGAGGCTCGTCCCGGCCTTCTTGGAAGTTTGTAACACTTGTCAACATTTCAAGTGTTTCGGAGCACCTTATTTTATTTTTACACAAAATTTGATGCTAAACCTTTGATCCATATTTTTCGATAGCAAAATACGCCGAGCACGCAAAACAACTTGTAACCTTTACGCCTCTCACAACCAAACAAAAAAAGGGATTTAATTGAAACTTGGTACAGATGTTAGGGAAGAGGGTACCAGCATAACAAAACAAAAAAATAGATCATCGAAAATATGTTGCCCGCGAAATTTGAAAAGTCACCTTTCTTTTTGAACACAACTCGTAAATCCAAGCTACGAAAAGGGGAGAGAAGCTAAGGAAATAGGAAATCAGGAAGCGTATGAAGTATACTGTTTCCGAAGTGCCAATTCAACAGGACAGAGCTTTTATAAGCAAAGGCGTAATGAACCCGAACCCAGTTGCCTGGACCAATCTTTGTTTGTCACTACAATAAAAATGGTGGATAAAAATAGAAGAACTAAAAATTGAAAGTGCTAAAAAAGGCATTGACCATGTGATCCAAAAAATTCCAAATTTCTTTTGGATTCGCAAATAAAAGACTTAAAGCCATTTGTGTATAAGACGGAACAATTACACAATTCTTATCAGTATGGAGTTAGTTGTCTCCGGATTAAGTTAGCATTTTAAACAAAATACATATCATTTTAATACATGTAGTTTATGTGACGAATATGACGTTTGTTTAAATGATTTAAAGAAATTTTGTGAAGAAACGCTTCGTTTGCATTTAATTAAATATTCGTGGTATTTAATGACTAATGTGGTTCACAATTTTAGTTCGTGGTCCAAAAATAATTAAATCATTTGTACTTCCTGTTGGTTGCTTAGGCAAAAACGCATCCGAGGCTTGCAAAAAAAGCGGAGTGAACAATTTAACCGACGTATTTCACCGAGATTTGGATTCTTCTGATCCTTACTTATCAAGCATCGCTTCAAAAAAGAGTTCAAAATTACACTTATTGCCAAGTGAAGTTATTGCGTTTTTAGTTTCTCGTTAACCGGAAGATGCAGACCAAGTATATGATGTTAAAGATGAGCTTAATATAGTTTATGTACTTATTTTTAAGTTTTCGTTAATTAAGCTATGTTAAATATAATATGCAAAAATATCAAAAATATAAAAATTTTCAACCAATTGTGGATAAAAAAAATTAAACAAGAAATATAACAACATTAATATGATTTTTATATATACTGCAGTTCTATTATGTGAGCGGCCAAGAAAGCAAGGTTCGAAATTCACAAATATTATAAGCAGCAAATTCTTCAAGTTTCAACTTTCTAGCTTTAAACATCCCAATGTGCACTGTAGGTAAGCGAGCAAAAACCGGGCAAAGACAAGCGCACACGTGATACGGTTTTGGACATCGCTAATTAAAAAGTGTACAGAACGGGTGAGCGTGGAAGAGACCACTACTGGGTAGTTTAACCATTTTTTTCAATACATAGAAAACTTACTCACAAAGTGAGTGAGAAAAAACACAAATACCAAGTTAAATTCACCAGACATCCCACTTCATCAAAAAATTTGTAATAGAAGATATACAATGACATGAATAAAATTTGACGGGTAACAATATTTTGCCAAAAATAGCCTTCATATAAAATTTAAACTCTCAAAAACAAAAAAAAAATTGTATGAAAAGTTATACATACCATTTCCGATTAATCAGTTATATGGCAGCTGTAGGATATAGTCGATCCCGGCCCTTCCGACTTATATACTGCGTCTTTCCTTTGCACGCAGTATGGGTGTGTGCAAAGTTTCAAGACGATACCTTTAAAACAGAGAGACTAGTTTGCGTAGAAACAGACAGACGGACAGACGGTGATGCTTATATAAACTCAGGAGGTGATCCTAATCTAGAATATATATACTTTCTAGGGTCGGAGATGTTTCCTTCACCGCGTTGCAAGTTATTATAATAATAAAAATTATAATACCCTCTGCAAGGGTATAAAAACTACTTTTATTCGGCACGTGCAAGAAAAACTAATTTTTTGACAAGTAGGGGTTATTGTTATTTACAAGCAGTGGCGGATTTAACAGGTGGGCAAAGACGCGCTTGCCCACTGGGCCCCCCCGACGAAATCTTGCTGAAAGTTGCACCTTCGATTTCTTTTTTTATTTTTTTGTTGAAAAAATGTTTTGGTGAGTCTCTTGTGGACAGCACAAGTTCAATTTTCATTCATGGTAAATTACTAAACCATCATTACTAAACCTGACATGGTGGCATTCAAAATTGTCTCTAAAATGTAATGAAGAACTTGCAAAACTTGCGTGAGGAGAGCAAGTATGATTCTTTCGTTTCGAAAGCTAAATGTCAATGGGAGAAGATGGGATGGAAGAATCCGGATTTTCCGATCATTAGACAACGACGAACGAAAAAAATGCCAGTCGAGAAAGCAGAGGACAGTTCTCTGGATATGGCAACGAAACATCGCATTGGATACTTAGAAGTTCTGGACAGAATGTGCAGCGAATTACAAGAAAGGGCCAAAGGTTTAGATGAGATAAACTCACTTTTCGGATTTCTCAAACATGAATTCTTCAAAAACATGGAAGAAAAAGAATTCGAAAAAAATGTGTGCAATTTGATGGAGAAATATCCAACTTTTTTTACAACTGCCTTGAAGTATGAGTTAATCAGTTTTGCGGACATATATTTCTCACAAGAACAAGATTTTACCAAGCATAGTCCATTGCAATATTTGAATTTCATCGTTGAAAAAAATTGGATCAGCAGTTTCCCGGAGTGCTGCAGTTTATTGCGTTTATTCTTGACCCTTCCCGTCAGCACGGCCAGTGCCGAACGAACAATGAGATCATTGAAGAGAGTCAAAGATCGGCAACGTTCTACAATGAGTGCAAAAGCATTGGACGATTTCAGCATACTTTTCATTGAACAACAAGTCGCCAATCAAATTGAAATTGGCCCTGTTTGCCCTGAAAAAATGTTGCCCACTGGGCCTTTTTCCACTGGGCCAGGGCCAAGCTATGTTTCAATGCTTGTGCTTTATCTCGTGCTTTTTAGGCGACTCGTTATAGCCATGATCGTCTGTCCGTCCTTTTATCTGTTTCTACGCAAACAAGTCTCTCTGTTTTCAACCTATCAACTTATAACTTTACCGGAACGGCCGGCATAGGCCGACTATATTCTATAGCTTCTATATAACTGATTTTTAAGAAATGCCATACTTGATGTTTTAACTTTGATACTTTACGCGTTAAAGTGTTGGGATTTTCTATGGATTCCATTTTTTGCCAATTGATCTGACCTAACAAATTTCATAAGGATCGGCCATCTATCTATATGCTATGTACAATGTATAATATTTTTGGCCAAATAATACGTCATGCCAAATGTCATAAGTCAAATTTTATAATTACAAATAATTCAAATATCTATATTTTATAGACTGCCATTTAACTGAACGATCGGAAATGGTATTTGGTAAAAATACCAACTTTGATATTTTTAAAGATAGAATTCTAAGACTTGAATTCTGGATTCCTTTCCTTTCTTGTTTTTACTACCTACCAACTATGTAGTTGCCTTCAAATAACATATTTTACAAAATCTGTTAAAAATAACATTTTTAATATTTACAAACATACTTATAGTTTTCTGCCATTGTAGCAATGGGTTGCGGGATAGATGGGTACATTGTATTGAAACCAGTGTTAAGGGGAATTCGTGGTGCTACCGCTTGGATTGGTGGACTTTCAGATCTTGTATGTGCAGGGTTTGTATCCCCGCCAAGAACCTATGAAGAAATAAGTTAATTAATCACTAAATACTAATTAAAATCTATATTTAACATACGCTTGTTCCATTAGGTGTCTCAGTAAGGTTGTTTGTGGTAATTACATCTGATGATGGTCTTTCCGAACCGGAAGCTGAAGGGTTTATAATACCGGGTGTAGAATTGTTAGAAGTTGTAACAGAGGACGTAGCGCCTCCGGAAGTGTTATTCGCTACAGTACTAGATCGACCACTGTTATTACCAATGTTATCCACTGACCGTCTCTGTGTTCTTATTTTTTCCTCCCGGCGCCACTTGGCTCGGCGATTTGAAAACCAAACCTAAAATAAATTCAAGTTTTAAAAGATGTGTTTTATTTCTACTTAAAATTTATGTTTCTATTGAAAATAAAAAAATAATTTTAAACATATGTGTACATAAAGATAAAAATATAATCAAAAGATCCACAAATGAAAGCAGAATAAAAAACTTATAGCTCTAAATATCGTCCGATATGACATAATTTCGTTTTTAAACCTTAGCAGAATGTATTATAGTTTTTGTCAAAAGTGTGCATTGCAGGAAAGGAGACATTTCCAACCCACAACGCGCTATGCCAAATAAGGAACATTAAACACACCTAAACTTGCGTGGCATCATATTAAAATAAACTTCTTTAAGTTTATTTTAATATGATGCCACGCAACATTGTTCAAATGGCTAATCTACACCTACAAATCAAAAAGCAGCAAAATTGGATAATTTTTAATGGAATTATAGGCCTTTCTTACTACTTCCCTACTGAGTCGGTAGTATGCCCGTAAGGGGGCTGAAGTTGTCTCGTCCAAGCGTAAAAGTGTGCCACAAAAATTTGTTGAATCCATACCATATTTGAGAATCCATACCTTTAAAATTTAAACTTTAAAGGTATTGAAATTGTTGGTGAAAGAGATGAGTACCGGGTATAATATAGTCAGAAACTCGACTATAGCCGTCTTTTCTTTTTTTTTCCACTTTTCATACCGTTGCAGAGGGTATTATAATTTTGGTCAAAGGTGTGCAACGCAGTGAATAAGACATCTCCGACCCTATAAAGTATATATATTCTTCATCAGGATCACCTCCTGAGTTGATATGAGCATGTCCGTCTGTCTGTTTCTACGCAAACTAGTCTCTCAGTTTTAAAGCTATCGGCTTGAAATTATCGAATGAAATTTCGCACACACCCTTCTTTTCTTTGTACGGAACGACCGGGTTCGGCCGACTATATCTTGTTTTTTAGATGTTTTATTGTAATTAATTGGTTTTCATATAATATTGTCATAGGGATCGGCCTACTATTTCCGATGTTTTTGGTATACAATCCGGTTTTAACTGCAAGAGTATATCAACTTTGGCTCCGCCCGAAGTTAGCTTTCCTTTCTTGTTTTATTTATTATCACATCCTTACATAGATAGTTTTTTGGGCATTTTTTGAGTTTTTACCGGAACTAGTGTCAAAGCCATATCTTTTTAAATATATTTTCTTGAAGAGTTTTGTGTATAAAAAAAAATAAACCATACAAAAAATGCTTTCGTTGGAATTGGGATTATGTCCTCTTTAAAGCTATGTTCAAATATCAACATATAAAATAATATTTAAGGCATAACAAAGCTATTACTTTAGTCATGCCGTCAAGCTGTCAAGCACCCTTCTGTGAAAATCGAAACTTAAGCATAATGACAAAAGGGGTGAAAAGGGATTACAATATTTGTAAGCTTTAATATTGCCATGATGACATTTATGTCGGAGCGGTATTGTTTCCGGTGCCACTTGAACCAACATGTTTCCACTTCAATTCTTAAACGTAGTTTGATTTTGCTCCCAATATAAAACTGTATGAGAAAAATCGCAAGGAGTTTCAAGTGTTTTCACAGTGAAATTGTTTTTATTCACTTCTATAAATAATTAAGTCCAAGTCCCAAAATATTTTTCTCACCCCACGATTTATTACAAATAGGACAGTGGCCTTGGGGGATGAAAGGTTGAGGGTTGACTTCTAAAATGAGTATGAATTAGTTATCGCTAGCTGATTTTCATGCTTAAAATGGTAAGTGCGGTAAAAGTGACTTATACAAAAATAAATTACATTGTGGAATAGGCACATGTGTACTTTAAACCATTTAAGCTATTTCTTTTAGAATTTTTAGTATATGAGGAAACCGTTGTTTTTTTCAAAAGCCAAGTTGTCACAGTAAAAAAGCTTTCTTTCCGCCTCTGAGTTCGAGAATTAAATACAAGATCACAATTTTCATAATTTACTTATATGTAGGAAAGGTAGTAAGACTGACACAAAACGAGCTTAGACTAAAGTGCCCGAAATAAGTAAGTAGGACACCCAATTTTTTTGTTTTACAAAAAAACGCTTGAAAATTTTTCAAAAAAACAAATTTGTAAATATTGTTTATTAAATTGGTAACACTTGTCAAATTAAAGAAATAAAATTAAACTTCACAACACATTATAGAAAATAAAAAAAAAACTTTCAAACGAAATAAGTAAGGACCATTTCCATTAGCATAAACCCTTTGAGATAATATGCCCCAAAGTTTTTTAATTGGATTTAAATCCGGGCTGCGAGCAGGCCATTCCGAAATTGGGATTTGCGATGACGACAGGAAGCTCTTTGTAAGCTTTGCACAGTGGATAGGTGCATTATCCTGTTGAAAAGTCCATTCTTCACCGAAATAGTTTTCTCCAAATTGGACTAGAACTTTATCTAAGAGCTCTACATATGTTTTTGCATTCATTTTATGCTATATGAAGCAAATAGGAGACTTTCCATTATAGCCAAAGGCAGCCCATACCATGAGCGACCCTGAAAGTTCCTGGAGACGAGCACTTTTTTGGGACTTCTAATGTCGCGATAGTAATAGCGGTAGCCATCAGGGCCATCTAAATTAAACTTCTCATCGCTAAATATTACATTTTTCCACTCTATATCCCAAAATTTTTTTATATTGGAAACTGCAATCGGGCTATTTTGTGCCTGAGTAGTAGTTCAGGTTTGAGCAGTTTTTTTTCGTATAAAACATTGTCCGATTCTCTCAAAATTTTTTGGAATCGTCGAGTGGATATTGGCAGTGACAAATTAAATCGTATTTGGGATGCACTGACGTTTTCATTGACTGCTAAAAATTTAATACGTCGCTTGTCCCGCTCATTAACAAGGGGTGGGCGGCCAGAACGGGGTTTTTTCGCATGGTTTTCGGGGTCTTTTAAAAAGTTTTCCACCGTCCTCCCACATTCTGCAGTATCCCACAATTTTGCGTATTAACATCCCCGTATCTCGGAGCGCCAATATTCTTGCCCGCTCTACATCGCTCAAATGTGTAAAAGTTTATGGTGCTAAGAAGTGACTTTTAATATGAACAGAGACTAGATATACGCGAAGCTAAAGCTCTCGATAGCGGAGAGGGCGGCCCGACATATTGATTGCGAAGCTAAAGCTCTCTTAAAGTAGGCCCGTTGAAGTCGAGCGGCCGAGAAAGAGACGGCTTGCGACCAACTAAGGCGATATATCCACACTTTAGCTTAATAAATAATCTATAACTAATTTTGCGGCTGCTGCCTGACCCGACACAATCGTTATATATAAGTAATGTATAAATAAAAGTACTAACATCCAATAACCCATTAATTAAAGTTTTTTTCTTATAAAAACAGAATAATTAATAAAAAATAAAAATATACTACCTATTCAGTAGGGAAGCCAGAAGTCTACAACCCCTAAAAATATTTGGTTTCGATTTTTAGTTTGTAAGTGTAGATTAGCCAATGGCATCGTTTGGCATCGTTTGGCATCAAAACAATTTTGCCCAACCATTACTGACGCTACAACCAGATTTCTGTTTTGAGAGCCGTGTGGGCGTGGCAAAATTTTGAAACAAACTGATCTCAGAGGATACCATACGAGTCCAAGTTCCAAATCGGATAGCTCTAATTTTACCTTATATTGCCGGCCGCTTTATATGAAATTGCCAGATATTTTTCCAGACATATTAACTGGGCGAAAAAAACGTAGTTTTTTATATCATTTTTCATTATTCAAAAGTTGAAATGGGCACTAAAATGGGGTATTTTATTTTAAAGAAAGCTTTGCCAGAAAGAGTTCTTAAACAAATGAAAAACTACGCTTCCCTGTGTAGATTTACTATGGAGAAAACTTGTTCCAACCCAATTTCTCAGAACATTTTTCTCAGAGGAAAAATTTTGATTTTTAAGTTTGGGTTGTCAAATGAGTCAAAATGAGTGCAAATGAGAGAATTTCTAAAAAAATTTTAAAATTCTCACGCTGCCAGTGTGTCGGCAGCGCTGCGGTAAATTTCCTACCCTATGCACATGCATACCCTATGCTATGGAAAATGAGAGTTTGCCCCACACTGGTCTAAAATCTCGTTCACACGGAATGCTATAAATTGTTTGTACTTCACTGGTCCGATCGCAGCCAATTCAAGACGGTCCTCAAGTCGGTCCAGAATGACCGTGTGCTTAGCTTCGCGCCAAGTGAGAGCTCCAGAGTTTGAGCTAACATCGCTCCAAGCACTGCTCCCATGAGTTCAAGCATTGGTATGTCGGTCTTAGAGGGGCTACCTTGGTTTGCTGCCCAGTAGACTGCAGTGGATACCTGCCTCGTTTTGAAATCTTATATAACTCACGTCGGTAAATCCATTCTCGCTTGCGTCCACGAAGGTGTGCATCTCCGTTTCTGAATCCATCAGCCACTCCTTCATGTGGCATCTTGGGATGGTAATTTTCAATTTCAGGGATATACCGAAGCCATCGCTTCCATTTAATTCATTCTGCCTTAGGTATTAGGTCATCCCAGTCATCCCAGGATCCCACTTCGCCATATTTCCTGAAATATTATTTGTGCATACATCACGTAGAAGGATATGAGCCCTAAAGGATCATATATAGACATCAACACACTGAGAAACTCTCGTTTGGTGACTCATTGCTTTCCTTGGAGAAGTTCTCTATGGCGATATCTTGGGGATACTTGGTAGCGGATGAGATCTTCTTTCGTGTCCCACCACATTCCCAGAACCTTCTCGGTCTGACCATTCGTTGTTTCGTCTAGTCTCACTAGCTTGGGCGCAGTTTCGAATGAGGAATCCGCCCTGAAGATGAATGTAGTGGACGCGACGCCCGAGGCTTATGGTTTCTTCCTCCGTGTCGACGCTGTCCAGCATGTCGTCTACATAGTGATTCTCCAGGATGCACTTTACAGCGCGTGGGTATTTTATCTTGAATGACTCTGCATTTCTGTTCTTCACTTACTGGGAGCAACTAGCCCCAAACGTCATTACCTGCATGGCGTAGTTCTCTCTCCGTTGTGTGTATGGGTCTATAAATACAAAGCGGTGGTATCTCTAATCTTCTGAGTGCATTCTGACCTGATGAAACATCTTCTGACCGGCGATTTCGCCGCCGATCGCAATACGTTTCTCTCTAAACCTGCGAAGTATTGGTACCAGCTGCGCTAGTTGGTCAGGTCCATTCAGGAGCATTGTATGAGCATTGTGTGAACGTCGCGAAGATGATATAGCTTCTTTTGGCCAATGCGGAGATCCTTAAGTCGAGTTGTCCGTTCACTCCAAGGGTCTCTAGCAATGGGGCGTCGATCAAGCTTAGAGATGACCCGTCGTCGATGAAGGCATACGTGTTGACTTGCCTACCTACCATTCCACACCCTCTTGTCGGTGTGCATGGCATCTGGCTTGGACGGGATCTGTGCTGCCGCGATGCAACAGGGGGTGATGGCGTTCTAGACATCTATCTATTCCACAAGGATTGGGGACGCCGCATCTTTCCACCTTATGGATCTGAAAACATCTCCAGTACAAGCCACATCGCCAGCGATCGTTGATCGACATTTCCAGGAATGCTGGACAATCCCGCAGGGTTCTGCCATTGGGGGTGCACAGCCGTCATCCTTGGCGCACAGTGTGTGTATGTACCGTGCTCCTTCTCTCCGTTCTTCACGAGCTTGGGACTATCACATGGCTCGCTTCTTCTGCCATCTGCGATAGCCACGGACTAAACTCTGCCAAAGTAAACACTGTTAGAGAGGCTTTGTGCATTCCCCCAAAACGTCTGCACCATCTATGGCAACTTGCTCACTAGCTTCTGCGTGAGCGCTGGGTTGCTTAAGTAGTGGTCCAACTTGAAGGATTTCATCGTAGCGCAAACATTTTGCACCTCCACCGAGAAGTCAACCAGCATTTCAAGCTTATTCTCCCTCACTTGAGGAAATTGTTTAATCCTTGTCAGTAACAAGTCAATGTTAATTTCGAGTCGTTCAAATCGCATTCAAAGCGTGGCGATTATCTGGGGGGCCCAGCGTGGGCCCTCTGCGTACTGTCGTTTTCTTCCACAACGGCAACTTTACCAATTTGTATCCGTACCTGCATTCTGGTACCGTGTACTAGATGCTCCAGGTATCTTCTCTGCGTGGCCAGTCTCCGATCCCCTCCCCCCTTGGAGCTTGCCCATGAGCGCCTTTCGCCTATGTAGAAGTTGTTGTCGCAACTGCAGCAACTGATCTTCTTCCTCCAACAACATTAGCTCCGTCTGCAGGTCCTGCGCTTCCTTCGAGGCCTCGTTGACGTCATTAGTCCCGATCCTCTTCTGGTCGCCACCTGAGTAACTCTGTTAATTGTCCCCAGCCGTCAGGCTGGTCATCTTTTCTGTCCTGATCAACGTCGAGCTTTGTGCATGGACGTCTACGTCACACTCTGCACAAATCCATCCTACGCCGCCATCCTCTAAAGCAGCACACTTAGGAAATGCATGCTACGCAGCCGGCGCCGATACAGCCAACCGTAACGTGCTCGTCCTCCACTTCACAGAGAAAGCATGTCGCCACCAATCTTGCCTCTCCACCGGATCCAGTAGGCATCTCCATGTTCATTTCGCACTGTGATTCAAGTATTCTCCAAGAATAAACCGGATAAGAATTTAAAGAAACGTTGTGGGTATTCAAAGTTTGTAGCGCTTCCCCAGTAAAGACGCCTGTGTAAACTAACCACTCTAACTAAGCAGTGATAAGAACTTTAAATTCATAGTAAATTAATAGTTGTACAATTCATAATCAAATCTTAATTCTATGTTCCAACTTTTCGTCCGCTTCTCTCGAGTTTCAAATAGAAAAGAAAGTTAAGGCACATGGTTACCGGTTGACTTAACAGAGATTCAACAGCGCTTAAATTATCGGTTCTGCAACTTCGGCGTTGCCGGATGCCGCGGGAGCAGTTTTACTATCTATCGTAACAGGCAGTTTTGGGGGAAAATGCGAGAAGTAAAGAACAAATAATTTTTTTTATTGACATGCCTTTTAATAAGCCGAATTATTAGCGCTTCGTCCTTGCTTACATTGGTGTTGGCTCACCATACACCATACGATGATGTGTGAAAACATTAACATCCACAGTCAAATATAATTGATCAAATACAGGCAAGATAGAAACTGTTTTATTTTTATTAAACAATACGACACGCCCCAAGTTCAAGTTTAAGTCAAGTGCTTGAGTCTGCCATTCACGTAAAACATTTTGTCAAATAAAACACGTTTTATAAACCAATTTGACATACCAATTTTTATTTTTCAATCTTGAAAAAAATAAGAGATATATGTATCCGATTTGGCATTTTGGCATTTAGACCTTTTTGGTACATACGCGATTTAAGTTTAATTCAAAGGCGTCAATATAGCGCCAGTTCACAAAAGCCTTTCGGTAATGTTTTGATGCTAAGCTATTCTAATGCATGTCAAATTCCAATATATATCTACAAAACAAAATTTAACCAAATCGCACGACTTTTAGGGTTAAATACTTTTCATTATTCTTCCCTATTGGGTTGCAAGTACCAACACTCAGCAAAACATTTGCTTGGAGGTTTTTTGGAATTTAGGGAATGGCTCGTGCACCAATTATTAGCATCAGCTAGCATCCCTGCATTTATCACAGAAGCCCAGACGGCCGAGGGGCGCTAGGGAAACAAGTTATGTATTTAAATAGTAAAGTGTGAAAGATAACTCAAAAATGAAAATATAAAATACATATTGTTAAGTTTCACGGACAGGAAAGATAAATGATAGGGCAGTTTGAACATAAGACCCTATAAACTAAAGTTTATAGTCCGTCTTAGCCGGAGGAGCGACCCTTAATGAAGCCATGCTGACATGGTCGAAGTGATGATCAAAGAACAGGGAGCCCTGGCACAGTATTTTAGCACACAGCCTGGTACTCTATCGGGACCTGGCAAATAAATGGGTTTGACCCTTAGAAAATCTGATAATAAGCTTTTCTCGGAGAAAGACGGACAGAAAATTAGGTTTGCTGATTGAATGTTATATGCGTAGGGCTGATATGTAGAAAAATTATATATAGTCGTTTAAATAAAAATCTAAAAAATAAAAGTTAAGTTTGTATGTATCTACAAAAATATATATGTATGGTAGTCGGTACGTTCTTTTACATTCAGATATAAGGTAATGATCTTTGTCAATTCAACTTGACAGTCGGACACAAAAAAAATGTGTGATAAAACTTCGTTAAAGCTAGGGAAGCTAGTTTTTGAATAAAACACCTTGCTTTTGATCCAGAATTTCTTGAATTTTCTTTACCATTTTGCCAAATTTAGAAAAAAAAAATTATAATAGTCTCTGCAAGAGTATTAAAACAGAATACAATTGAACAAAACAGAAAGACAAACCTGAATACGTGCCTCTGGCAAACCAATTTTATCCGCAAGTCTCTCTCGTGCAAAAACATCAGGATAGTGTGTTCTCTCAAATTCTGCAAGGTAAATTTTATAAAATAATTATTAATTATTATTAATTGAAAATAAATATGTTAAAAAACTTTATTCATGAAAATAACTTTTACTTCAGGCAAAGACGACGCTTATCTGCGCTTGCAGATGGATGGAGGTTTCTATTGTTAGTTATGGTAAGATCGGACATATGTATTTATATCCCGACATCCTATAGCTCCCGACTATATTATACCCGCTACTCATCTCTTCCACCCACAATTTAACTAACCTTTAAAATTTAAACTCAGAAACAAATTTTTGTTACATACTTTTTCGCTTGTGCAAAACAACCACGGCAGCCGCCTACTATTAAAACAGTAGTGAAGTAGACTAAAAAGGCTATAACTCCTCTTAATATTATCATTTTCCAACATAAACGAGCTACAACGAGATTTCTGTTTCGGGGGGCAGGGTTTGGCGTGGAAAGATTTTGACACAAACTTGATCTGCGCGGAAATTAAACGAGTCCAAGTTCTTACTGCAACGCAGTGAAGAAGGCATCTTCAACCCTATAAAGTATATATATCTTGATCAGGATCACCTCCTTAGTTGATCCTCCTCAACAATCTCAGATCCACCGTCCGCCTCACACAATGTCATCTATCACTAGCATGTCCATTAGCTTTTGGACATAGCCCCTGTGTATGGTGTGTGTTTCCCTCAACTCACTTGCTAGCAGGAATACCTTTCCGACCCACGTCGCTCATCTCGCTCATATGGCAATGCTCGCAAGCATACTTATACTTATAAGTTCTCTTACTAGTTAAAGACTTTAACATGTATCGATCACCATCAAGTAACTCAAAAATCTTAAATAGTCCTTTAAAATTCGGATCCAATTTCGTTTGGTGTCGTTCCTCACTTTTCAATAACACATGATCATCAACATGGTATTTCTTTATCTAAGCCCTATTTTTATCTTTACGGTTCTTATCATATACATCATTTTTATCAACATTTTCTTTGGCCTTTGCACTTATTTGTTTAACATTAACTTCTTTTTCCTCATCCATTGGCAATGCGCCCATTGCCCATTAATAACTCTAGGGCACTAAATGGCTTGTACGATTTATGGCCAACTGGCTTTCTTTCAATGGATCTTGCCAAAAACGTTCGCTGGTTTCTACTTCTATTAACATCTTATGACACGTTCTACCTGCCCATTCGCAGGTCTTGCTCTTGTCCCTACAAAATGCAAGTCAACTTTATTTTCCGTTCAAAAATCCCGGAACCTAACGCTAGAAAAACTTCTGCCCTGATCGGCCATTATGTGGTTTGGCACACCAAAGATAGAAATACCAGGCTTAACGGAATTTATACAGTTTTCGGTGTCTAAACCAAAGGTACAATGTAGAAAAACATATTTAGTAAATGCGTTTACTCGATCTATAAAAAATTCCTTGGACTGTATGTGGAATGTGAGCTTTTGGTATGGGATGCATTTCCATTTGTATCTTACCTGAGGAGGTCTTTGATAATTTACAGATTATGCCGTTTTCAACGAATTTTCTGACATACTTTGAGAGTTTCTGGAACCAGTACTGTTATGATAGACATTATCTAAGGTTTTCTGCCAACCCAAATGCATTAAGCCACCGTGTATATGATTAATCACAGACCACCTAAAAGCACTCGGAAATACTGGTAAGCAGCGTGTTTTCCCATTTCTTAGAATCTTGCGATATAAAACCTTGCCTCTCATTTCTTATGTCTTTGCGGTCTCTTCTTGCAATTCCTGTTCCGACACCCTATTGTGTTCTCAACAGTTTCCTTATTGGGTTTCGCGACAAAAAAATCAACGTTGCATCGGTGTGCAGTTAAATAGAAAGATCAAGATTGAAAATGATTAATACTGGGCTATTTATCAGTACTTTCATTATTTGTTGGTGTATGTGCTCGTGCTAATACTTCCAATTGAATTCATTGTTTTTGGATGTCAATTGATACAACGGCTTCATTTGTTCCGAAAATCGCGACACGAATTGCCTAAATTATGACGCAAGACCAATAAACTTCCTGAGTTGATTGACCGTCGTTGGTTGTGGTAATTCGGACTACGCTTTTATTTTTCGATTATTTAGCTCAATTGTTCCATTTTTAATATAAAAGCCAAGCTAAGATACTGCAACTGATAAAGCTTTTAGGACAACATATAATCTTTGAAAGGCTTGCTCTTTTGAGTCAGCCACGATCAATACATTATCAATGTAAACCATTGTATATGTGTTTGCTAATTTGCCTAAGGCCTGTACAACGGCGCGGTGGAAAACGGAACTGGCATTTTTCAACCTAAATATGTATTGGACTAGCAAAGGGTGAGCTACTTGGCCTTATGACACCAGCCGCATTTGTTGTATTTTATCTCGGACTATTTATTTTTCATCTACACTCAATCGAGATGGACACCTTTAAACTGTTTTGTCGCCACCATAAAAGAATCTTCACTATTCCCGTACTTATGCATTTTTGTGGGATTCCATTATATAGCTTTCAGAATACGATGCTAGTATCCCTCTTAACCTTTTTTATTTAGGTTATTATCTTAACATCTCTTAACCTTTATATTATTAAGGCCAAGCATAGACTGATCTAGAGTCTTTTTCCCTTTTACTATATACCCTTGCAGAGGGTATTATAATTTTTTCCAAAAGTGTGCAACGCAGTGACGGAGACATCTCCGACCTTATAAAGTATATATATTCTTCATCAGGATCACCTCCTGAGTTTATATGAGCATGTCCGACTGTCTGTTTCTACGCAAACTAGTCTCTATCTTTGCACGCAGTATATAAGTCGGAACGACCGGGATCGGCCGACTATATCCTATAGCTGCCATAAACTGACTTATGGCATCTTACAGCTGACATATAACTGAACGATCGGAAATGGTATTTGGTAGAAATACCAAATTTTTGAAGATGGAAGCTTGGGACTTTTTTTTAGATATTTTTTTGTAATTAATTAGTTTTATTATGATATTCTCATAAGTATCGGCCAACTATATCCGATGTTTTCGATATATATCCGGTAACTGCAAGGGTATATCAACTTCGGCTCCGCCCAAAGTTAGCTTTCCTTTCTTGTTTTTTTAATTTTTTTTTTATATTTTTATAAAAATTGGTTGCAATTGGTATTTAAAGTGTTCTCTTGCGCACGCGAAGCCATACAGTTTCTCACCTCCTCACCACAGTGAGAATTACAATATTGGGTATGAGAATTTTGAAATAAAATATTTTTATAGATATTTTTCTTTTGACAATGAGTCTAAAAATGTTTTACCTTTTTCCAGGCTATCAATTTGTTCATTGGTAAAAGAAGTTCGATTACGCTGTAATTTCCGTTTAAGTCTCAATCGCATTTGGGAATCCTCGTCTCCAGATGAATTGTGATCAGAGTTTCCGTCTGATGTACTGTCATGAGAGTTAGTGTGAGAAACATCAGCTGAATATTGTAAGTCTGAAATATTTAAAAAATTTAGATATATAAAAGAATATAAAAATCTCAAGGGGCCTACAATATGTACATCAGATTAGCCGTTGTGAATATTGAAATGTTTTAAATGTATCTTAAGCACGTAATTTAATTTAAATAATTCTCTCCGGTTTTTTCCGCTTTTTATACCCTTGCAGAGGGTATTATAATTTTGTCCAAAAGTGTGCAACGCAGTGAAGGAGACATCTCCGACCCTATAAAGTATATATATTCTTGATCAGGATCACCTCCTGAGTTGATATGAGCATGTCCGTCTGTCCGTCTGTCTGTCTGTCTGTCTGTCTGTCTGTCTGTCCGTTTCTAAGCGAACTAGTCTCTCAGTTTTAAAGCTATCGTCTTGAAACTTTGCACACACCCTTCTTTCTTTTGCACGCAGTATAAAGGTCGGAACGCCCGGATCGGCCGACTATATCCTATAGCTGCCATATAACTGATTGATCGGAAATGGTATAACTTTGACGTTTTTAAAGTTAGAGAGTTCAAATTTGACATGAGAGCATTTTTTGGCAAAACATTACGACATGCCAAATTTCATAAGGATCGGCCGACTATATCCTATAGCTGCCATATAACTGAACGATCGGAAATGACCCAACTTTTGTGTTTTTGAAGATAGAAGTTTGGGATATTTTTAGGTTTGGTTTTTGTATTATATTAAATTGGGTTATATTATCATATTTTCATAAGGATCGGCCAACTATATCCGATGTTTGCGATATATATCCGGTTTTAACTGCAAGGGTATATAAACTTCGGCTCCGCCCGAAGTTAGCTTTCCTTTCTTTTTTTTTGTTTGAATTTTGAATTGAATGTGGAAATTTTATTCTTAAGATTAGCGCACAATTTTTAACAATACTTAGTCTAAGCGATACTTAGGGAAAGAAGTGATTTCATTTTTTGTCGCTAATAACGTAGTTTAAGTTTTCTTACAAATTTTAGAATTTTTAATAATTTAAGAATTTAAAGAGAATAATATTTTTGAGGTAGACACGAGATCTTGTAATATGAATTATTACTAATAGCAAAGATTATAAAGTACATAGATGGGACATCTCATACAAAGAAAAATTTTCTATGGCGGGTTCCAGCAGTGGAACCCGCTGGAACGAGCGGGTTCCATTGCGCGACAAGTTAAGTTTTAGAAATTTTTCGCGCGACAACGAATGAGGAATAGCCGACTGGTAGAGTGCTTGGCTGGTGTGCAAAGTAAAACGAGTTCAAACCAGGCTCGGGAAATCCATTTTTTTTAATTTTAAATCTATTTATATTATATTTTTATTCTTTTAATGTGTTTTCCTTATAATCCAAATTTATAATCCAATAAAAAAAATACAAAATTGTAAAAAACCCTTAACATTGTCTCAGTTTGTAGTGGAACCCGCTGTAAAAATGTCTAAAGGTGCGGGTTCTACGGCATTTTGGCAAGCCGCATCGTGGAACCCGCTCTAAAATTTGTTAATTTTTTCCGTCGTGGAACCCGCTGTAATAATGAAAACATTGGAGAACGGGTTCCACGACAAACGGCTGGCAGATAAGAGAGGGAAAGAGAGAATTCTATTTTTAGATCGTAACATCTTTGGAACGATGAAAGTTTGAAACTTTGTAATCGAACCAATGTAAGAGTAAAGAGATCAGAAATATCTTTTACTATCCTTACTCGTCAGCTCTGTTTTTGGTATGGATTCTAGCGCCTCCTTTAACACCAATTTTAAGTATCATAAAATCAACTTCGAGGGTAGCCTAGATGGATAGTGCGCGGTCCTTATTCATGGGGTCCTGGGTTCGATTTCATTAGCGGGCGGTTTTTTCAATTTTTGATAAAGTTTTAATTTTATGATTCTTATTATATTTACTTTTAATTTTTACGTTATTATTATTATTTTTAATTGTATTCTTTTACAATTGTTGTAAAACTAAGTGACTTTTAAGTATCATAAAATCAACTTCGAGGGTAGCCTAGATGGATAGTGCGCGGTCCTTATTCATGGGGTCCTGGGTTCGATTTCATTAGCGGGCGGTTTTTTCAATTTTTGATAAAGTTTTAATTCTTATTATATTTACTTTTAATTTTTACGTTATTATTATTATTTTTAATTGTATTCTTTTACAATTGTTGTAAAACTAAGTGACGGACGTGTCGGATGACAAAATGCCGGAAAGACTACCTTGAAATTTTATTAGCATTTTATTAGCGGGACATAAGGAAGAATAAAACAATTTTACAATTGTAAAATTAAAGAAAAATATTACAATAAAAGAAAAATAAAAAAAAAATAATAATTATAAAAGAAGGAAAAAGTTCAAAGTCCTTACGAGGATTTGAACACAGAAAAATTACACATAGAGTAACTACTCTATGCATTACGCTACCATCCTGTCACGATCTGCGGCGATTAAAAATACTATTTATTCTACCAACTACCACATCGGCGCATCGAAAACAGGAACGAGAAATTGAAATTGAAATGTATATATATTGAATTGATAATGTAAAACATTACAATAAATAAATAAATAAATTTCCACAATAAATTTGGATGGACCTTATGGATGGTATATGTCGGAGATAAGTTAGATTTAATTTCAAATACCGTTTTTACTGATTAATTATAAGTTAAGTGTATAGTATTGCTGCTCGGTAGTGCATCTCAGTGGCTGTCGCAAATTTGTTTTCCTGGAATGAGCTGGTCGCAATTCCGAGAATTGTTCATGGAACGCTACGAAGGCAACGAGAAGCCGGCAGCAGTATTGCTCAACATGCTCAAAGGACGCCCGAATGCAAATGAATGCCTCTCGGTGATTATTGATCTCGGATTATTGACCAAGTGGAAATCAATGACCCATGAGGAGACTGCCATATCCCTAGTCTTGGCTCATGCATCCCAAATTGACTCTAGACTGCAGCGTGTAGCGTTCACCACAAACATAAAAACGCGTGCTGAACTGCAACAACAACTTAAGGCACACACTTTCAGCAGAAATGTAGAATTTTCTGGATCAGAGGGACCCGAAAAGAAAAGGTTCAAAATGCAGACGCCGATTAGATGTCATAATTGCGGGAAACTTGGACATAAGGCAATGGAGTGTCGCAAGAGGAGAACAGAAGAGCGAAACGAGACTAGACCGAGCCATAGCAACAACAGAACAACGATGAGAGAGAGATCAACACTAACTTGTTTCAAGTGTGGCGGCGTTGGACATATCGCGTTAGTGTTTACGAGGGGAACAGCAACAGCGAGCCGCAGCAGCACCGAAAAAAGGGTAGACATGTGCGCAGTACATCAGCCTAACGGGACTGCAATTCAATTTGGTGAGAAGTTTCCATTTTTCTTCGATTCGGGATCAGAATGCTCTTTGTTAAAAGAAACAGTCGGCGCGAAGCTGGCCGGTAAAAGAATCCATAACATGGTTGTTTTGAAAGTCATAGGCGACAACGTTGTCAAGAGCAATATGCAAATTCTGTCCACCATGGAAGTCTCTGAATTTAATTTTGAATTGTTATATCACGTAGTAGATAATAAGTGCCTAAAATATGATATGGTAATTGGACAAGACATTTTTGAGCTTGGTTTTGGAGTAACTTTAGAAAGAGATAGATTCGATATCTACAGAACTCAAACCCTATTATCCTTAAACAACGACAAAAATGTAAATGCGATAGATCATAAAAGTAATGTTAATGTGGAATTAAGTAATAGTGATAAGTTAAAATTAAACGACATACTGGCAAAATATTCCAAATTTCTCATTGATGGCATTCCAAATAGACAGGTTCTATAGAAATACTTTAAGTAGACGTAAAAAAAACGGTACAGAGACGACCATCGTCTTAGCGAGGGTGAGAAAGAAATAGTGAGAGAAAAGATTCAGCAAATGCTAGAATCCAACGTAATTCGACCAAGTAGCTCCTTTCTCTAGACCAATGTTACTAGTAAAAAAGAAGGACGGCAGTGATAGACTATGCATAGATTATCGAGAACTCAACACAAATACTGTGTCAGATAGATACCCCTTGCCATTAATATCAGACAAAATAGATCGCCTACGAGGCGGTAAATATTTCTCTAGTCTAGACATGGCCAGTGGCTTCTATCAGGTTCGGCTTCTATCTATCAGGTTATCAACTGCATTCGTGATCCCAGAGGGTCAATATGAATTTTTAGGCATGCCCTTCGGCCTCAAAAACGCTTCTTCTGTCTTTCAACGTGTCATAGTTCATAGCTTTAGGAGACTTGGTTAATAAACACGCAGTAGTTTACATTGATGACGAATTAATTGTATCTAGTACTAAGAGGAAGCATTTGACAGATTGGAAACAGTTCTAAGCGTATTATCAAAGTCAGGCTTTTCCTTTAACATTAGAAAGTGCAAATTTCTGCAAACATAGATAGAGTTCTTTAGTTTTCTTATAAGAGATGGCGAGCTTAAACCCAATCCTTGAAAAATACAAGCACTAACCCAAATGCCCAAACCAGAATCAGTCACACCAACTAGACAGTTTATAGGTTTAGTATCTTACTTTAGGAAATTTGTTCCACATTTCTCAGAAGTAATGAAGCCTCTTAATTTGCTAACATCAAAAAAGAACGAATTTGACTGGAAAGAAAAGCATGAGGAAATTCGTAAAAAGATTATTAAGTTGCTAACTAGTGACCCCGTGTTGACCATATTCGATCCCAACCTACGAATATAGCTGCATACGGATGCTAGCGCCAATGGGTATGGCGCTATGCTATTACACATGGTAGATGGTCAGCGCCGTGTAATTGAGTACTACAGTAAATGCACCACAATACCTGAATCAAAATATCACTCGTATGAACTCAAGGCGGTGTACAACGCGATCAGAAATTTCCGACATTATTTAAGCGGCAGAAAGTTTACAGTACATACTGATTGTAATTCTGTTACAGCAAGTCAAAAGAAAGCGGTATTGACACCGCGGGTTCATCTTTGGTGGTCAT